ACCAAGCTACATGGAACCAGTACACACACACACACACACACATACACACACACACACATACATACACACACACACACACACACACACACACACACACTTCTTAAGTTGTCAACATCCATATACATACATAAATGTATGTATGTGTACATACATATATATATCTCTCCCTCGTGTCTCCCGTATATGAGTGTGCGTCCATGTATGTGAGCGATCATTGTATTTGGTCACCCTGTGTGCATGTTTTTTTTTTTTTTTTTTTTTTGGTGGGGGTTACGATCTATTCAGTTGGGTTTGAATTTGTCTATAAAGTTTTTTCCTGTATTTGTAGATACGAGTAATTGTCTGTTTGATATATCGGCATGATATTAAACTTACCCTGGTTACATTTGAAAATGTGTTGTGATACAAAAAGTTTTCTGTTGTCTGTCAATTTTATATTGCTTTTTGTGTAGGGAGACCCTGTTGTTCAGTTGTTGGCTGATGCCTATATATGACTTCTTACATTTTGTGCATTTAAGTGCATAAACTACATTTTTGGAGTTGCAGTTTAAGTTTTTGTTTATTGTGAATGTTTTTTTGGTTTTCAAAAGTGTAGGAGTTTCCTTCTATAATGATGTCACAAACTCCACATCTTTTTTTTGTTGCATTTGTGACTCCTGTATTTTGTGTTGACTAAATTTAGATGAGGTTAATATGTGTTTTAGGTTTCTAGATTGGCGTTTGCTCTTAATTATTTTGGTTGTTTTTAGTATATTATTCAGTTTATTATTCTTGCTAAGTAAATCTAGATTTTTTGTGATTTCTGGGAATATTTCTGGGTTGTTTTTTGTTGTACGTTGAGACATATGCTAGAGTTTGTTCGACGTTCGTTTCTTTTTTTCTAAGTTGGTCTAGAGGAATTTCTTTCATGAGTTCAATACCTTTATTTATTAGTGTTGTGGGGTAGCCTCGTTTCTTGAGAGTTTTATGTAGTTCTTCTAAGCGGATTTTTTAGGAGATGTTTATCAGTCACTATTGTACAAATTCTACGTGCTAGGGAATAGGGGATGGATTTTAGGCAGCTTTTTGGGTGATGGCTCTTGAAATGAACGTATTGTTGGGTGTCTGTGGGTTTGTGGTAGATATCTGTGATTATGTGGTTGTTTTTATTTCTAATGAGTATATCTAAAAATGGTAATTCGTTAAAATTATATTCTTGCGTGAATTTGATTTTTTGGGTGTAAGTTTTAAGTAGTGTATGGAATTGGTTAATATCACCCCATGATGATTTCCAAAAAGATGAAGCAATCATCTAGATATCTTTTCAAAGATTTAGTGAATTGGGTCTTTATATTTGTCCCATATATTTGTTCTATCTTTTCATAGAGGTTTTCTTCTAGGTAAGCTAATGTTAGGGTGGCATATGTTGGTGCCATTTTTTTTCCCATCGCAGTACCTAGGGTTTGGATATAGTTTTGTTGTCAAATTCAAAGGTGTTATTGTTTAGAATTAGGTCTATACTATCGATAATGAACTCTTTAGTGAATCTCGGATGTAGTATTTCTGGATGTTTTTCAATCCAGAATGAGATCGCTTTTTTCCCTAGTTCATGGGGTATGTTACTGTATAGGCTACTGATGTCAAAAGTTGCCATAAGCTTTCACAATAAACAAAAACTTAAACTGCAACTCCAAAAATGTAGTTTATGCACTTAAATGCACAAAATGTAAGAAGTCATATATAGGCATCAGCCAACAACTGAACAACAGGGTCTCCCTACACAAAAGCAATATAAAATTGACAGACAACAGAAAACTTTTGTATCACAACACAATTTCAAATGTAACCAGGGTAAGTTTAATATCATGCCGATATATCAAACAGACAATTACTCGTATCTACAAATACAGGAAAAAAAAACTTATAGACAAATTCAAACCCGAACTGAATAGATCGTAACCCCCCCACCAAAAAAAAAAAAAAAAACATGCACACAGGGTGACCAAATACAATGATCGCTCACATACATGGGCCTTTTACTCATATCTCTGAGACACGAGGAGATATATATATATGTATGTACACATACATACATTTATGTATGTATATGCGGATGTTGACAACTTAAGAAATAACATGTGTGTGTGTGTGTGTGTGTGTGTACTGGTTCCATGTAGCTTGGTAAATATGTGTGTATATGTGTGTGTGTACTGACTACTTGTGGTGGGATAGTGTGTATGTGTGTGTGTATGCGTATATAGTACAAATAAGTTTACGAATTCCTCGTAGTAAGGAAATATACGCATATATACACGCATGCTGACAGGAACACGCCAAAATAGAAACAGATCCAAGAGCACATAGAGGTCACTAAAACATTAAAAAGATTAAATGCCGATAACTACTCTCGCTGGACAAACCTTAATTGTTTTATGACCCTTCACGCAGAACTCTTCATTGACAATTCTAGAAAGAAAATTCGATTGCCAACACACAAACAGAATGTCTCATATCGAGAATATTCCACATTGAACATGAAGAAAAAATTAATTATTTTTAATAATATGTAAAAATCTCCACTTTCACCTGAAGACGGTTGCGAGACCAGACCAGAAACACGTGTCGTGAAATTATGTAAAACAAAGTATAATATTTTTTCTCAATAAATCCACATTACAACCAAAAACGTTTGCGGCACCCCTCTTCTTTTTAATATATATATATATATATATATATATATCAACACTTGAGCTCCTTGCCTATGATTAGTATAGTATTTGTGCACTCTGTGGAAAGTTAAATACACAAGGTTTGCTTTGAAAGTAATGCCTCCTATTTTATTGTGTTGATAGTACAGCATTAGATTGATTGATTTGATTTTTTTTATGGTTTATCAACCATTTGCAGATTATTTAAGGCAAGAAAATATTTTCAGGTTGTAAGAATTTTTGGGAGATAATATTTATCGATTTTGGTGGGGATGAGGTGGATTTCATACCTTTCCCAAGTTTATTTGCATATAAGTAAATGTAACAAACCTGACTGGAATTGGAACTCAGCTCTCTGATTTCAACTTCTGAGCCATTATCCATGACACCATCCACACATCCAAGCTTACAGCAACTGTTATTTCCCAAGCTGTTACTCTTCTTGGTACTGACCAGGCTCAGTCTTGTTTAACTTTGGTGATCATATTAGATTCAATGTGATATTCTGGTAAGCACAGTACAACACTAGAGGTTAAGTAATAATAATAGCTGAGCAACATTCTGGCAAAATGACATCTGGCTTGAAAGTGCACATGAAGCAGGAGTGTATCATTTGAATTACTCCATGTGGGATGTGGAAAGTTTGCACCTGTTGACCTTCGCCAATGCTTGTTAAACATTTATAGAGACCAAATGGTGGATGTGATCACAGTTGATTGGTTGGTAATACCTCAGCAGTGGCAACAGCAATGTGTTTATATCAAGCTCTGCTGATCTTCACATTATGTACAGAGCTGAATATCAGTTTTGGTGCAATATTGCAGAATTGGTACAGGTTGGGTTCTGTGAATGCACACACAACACCGAAATCAAATCTGTCAGAAGATATTGAAACACTACGGGACTGAAAGTGAGTTTGCTTGACTGTATAACCATAGTCAAGTAATGAGATGGGGGGTCAACACAACAGGCGAAAATCAAAATGGCTCTTCATGGAGTAAACATGCAAATTTCTTATCAATGAGTTCAAGATGTAGCTATTAGCAGGCAATTTGTTGTGCTCTATCCTTTTGGATAGGAATGGTATCATCCATTTGGATTTCCTGTAATCTGGTCAAACCATCACGGCTAACTGTTACATCTCCACACAGATAAAGCTGGAGGCCAGACAGTCTCTCTTGCAGCACAACAATACTACCCCACCCAATATGATTTTGAAGACTAGATGAAACCCTACAGGATAGTCTGGGTTTACCACATTTAAACTTTTATCTGTTTGGGCCAGTCAAATGTGGACTGTGCAAACAATTATTTTTTAGACACTCTTATCGCAGATGTGAAAAAATGGGTTGACTCTGTTGGTGCAGATTTTCCTCCAGATTTTTGTTGATTGCTGGTGAAAATGCGTAACCAATGGTGTTTACTATATGGAAAAGTGGTGTTTTGTAGTTGAATACTTACTCTATCCAATGTTAATGTGTACTTTGTATCTGTTGTAATTTCTGTGGAACTCAATACAATATATTACTTTCAAAGTGACCCCCCCCCAAACACTCTGTGTGTGTGTGTGTGTGTATATGAATACACATTGTATTTTATAAATATGGATTTTATATTTTTACTTGATATATATTTACAGTTTTGGTTGATCTATTTTTTTTTTTTTTTAAATTTAGGCTTTTGATTTAGAGACAGAATCCAAGCTGTTACTGATAAGAATGATTAATGTGACTCTGAGGTCTATCAGTCAGAATTTTTTTCATTGTCATCAGAATTACCCTAAAGTTAATGATTTAAAGAAATCCTACTTAAAAATTGTTAGAGCAGATGGCAAGGCCAGTTAATGTTTTATCAACTGGCATGATGAATATGGATTTTGGGCTAATTAGCTGACTTACATGTTACTTAATTTCATTAATCAGTATTAAATGTTCTAATTAGTTGTTGAAAAAATAATTAAATTATGTATGCTTCTTGTTTGTTTGATCATTTTTAGCACTTTTTGTTTACCAGGCAGCAATCTAATTTGTTGGTTGATTATTTTTGTTTAGCAGCATATCAACCTCTATGGGTCATTTAATGCCGAAATCTAAATATGTTGCATGTAATTTTATTTTATTTTTGGAGATAATAATGGTTTAGTGATACTAGTCTTACTAATTAGCCAATAGCCGGGGGGGGAGAAGAGGTGGATTCATACCTTTTAGACAGGTATTTGCATGTAAGTGAATATAACGAACCCAGTCGGAGTTGCGACTCTGCTCTAGATTAACAATTCCAAGCCATCATCCATTATTCACCTTCAACTTCATGCTTACAGCACCTAGTATTCCTAGGCAGTCACCCATCTAACTACTGACCAGGCTTGACATTGCTTAACTTTGGTGATTGCACAGGAACCAGTGTTTCAACATGATGTGGCCTCTTTGATAATTTGTCTCTGAATTTCTGAAATAAGTAGTTACTATTCTTTGTATTATTTACATTTGGACTAATATTCTGATATGCCCCGGAAAGGGATATATTTGATCGAAGGAGCTAAGTGGGGTTGGCTACTATAACCAAGTAGTACACGGTAGCAGTAATCAACTGGTACTTGTCGTAGTCGCAGAAAATAAGTGTAGACCAATAGGATAGCCAATGGCGTAGATCAATGGGCGTCGTCCTAGACTTAAACTCTGTCGTACCTACATGTTCGTCTGTATTTATGACAGACACCAGCCAATCATATTCCAGTGAGGGGAAACTCAGGGGTATGCATATTCCATTATATGATATTCTCATCTTTGCTATTATCACACCATTTCAGGTATTTTGTTTTCTGGCCACATTCAGGTGTCTGTTAATGTGGGTAACATCATTGTATTTTGGATTGAACTTTTTATTTAAATTGACAGGGGTAGATTGTTCTCATTCCACTGTCCAGGATGTCTTGTTTCGTTCTTTTTCAGTACAGCTCTGTTATTGCTCACCCTGTTTCCACTGAGTCTAATTCCATACAACCATCCCAGTAGTAAAGATCACCACAGCTATGGGTTAAATAATATATTTAAAAAAAAAAAGAAAAAGAAAATGCCTTCTCCTTTTATGAAGGAGGTGATCGTCATGATCAACAAAGATTCCTTTTCTTTATCTTTGAGGTAACCTGCATTCTTTGGAAGGATAGTGGAATGATTTCTTGTTACCTTCTCCATGATTTTGAATTCATAATTTCTTCTCTTAGACCTGGTTGCCACCCAAGGCTAAAGAAACCAGTCTACACTGTTATTTAACTCACAGCTCTTGTGTTTTATGAGAGTGTAGTGAATTTTTTAAGTGCGCTAAATTTATGGCCTTGTGTCTGACTAAGAACATATGTTTTTAAAAATAGCTAAAATTACAGGTATGTCAATTTATAGTTTGAAAAGTTGGTTGGAGGTTGACAATGGTAAAGTTTGCTTCTAAAAAGAAGCACTAAAATTAGGTAACAGATTAAGAAAAACAACAGTCAAAGTCAATGGGAACAATAATCTGACGGAAGCTATCAGTGGATGAGAAATGATCATTTTCATGACCGGATTACCTGTTTGCTTTAGTGATTCTCACGTTTTTAATTTCACTTCATGGTCACTGATCTAATGATTGTTGCCTGTTCCCTTAAAAAAAAAAAAAAAAAAAAAATAGATTAATTGCAGTTAAAATCTCTCTCTCTCTCTCTCTCTCTCAAGCAGAGGGTTTTAAGCTCAAGGACACAAGAGCTGCTACATGCTCTGGGAGAGATGCAGTGGGCCAGAAGCAGGTTTGTTGTCGGGGTATTATCAATGGGAGAGGGTATCGACTCCATTCGGGTAGCTGATGAAAAATATATGGTGGTAGGATGATCAAGATTTCTTCCCTTTCAGGGAGAAAAACAAGATCAGACTATGTTGATCTTTAAAACTTTGCCCTTGGTAGGGTATATCAAGCTCTGTACTGCTACAGCAAAAATATGAGAGATAGTATGCGGGCTGTGTGTTTGAGACCCCTACTCTAAAGAATGCCCAAGAAAATACATAGGAACATTGGACTGTCATAGTTTTTGTTATTAACCTAAAGATTAACAATGCATTGTCCATTCAGTGGCATAACTTTATTTATTCATTGCATTATTGTTTGTCTTTTTATTAACTTTAACTTAGGTTTCCATTGTAAAATTGCATTATTGACACTAGCCCCCGCCTCTTTTTGGCTCACAGGGCCACCATACCAGCACTCTAAATGATGCTACTGTTGTTCAAGTAATAATGAAGTTGTGTGGTCTGATACTGTTAGCCTCATGTCTACCTGGATTGTCTTTCTCCTAAACTGGCAATCCTTCCAAATTTATAGAACTCACTCTGCTCTGCTATTTTACCTGTAGCTGTGACTGGAAGAGAAGAGCTGGAATCAAGTTTTTTCTTAATGTGAAGTGACTGGTTAGGTTAATTGAATGAGACATGCTCTTGGGAGTCTGTTCCACATTGTAAAAGTTCTGGAAATGAAGCTGTCAGAGGGGAATTTATTCTTTACCAGTGGAACAGATGAGGTACCCCTCAGTTTTTGTGGCATGGCAGGTCCAAGCTGTGTAAGTCTGGACTTATGGACCAAAGTAATGAAGACCCCAACCTCCAAACATCTGCCGCAAAATGGAGAATAGAATAGTGAGAGGCTAGCTATGGTTTGTCTTGGGGGGTGGAAATGGGTTGAAGAGTGGGGAACGGTTCATTACCCACATGTCTGCACAAATGCTTTTAAACTCTGTTAAGGATGGAAATTAGGCGGCTCAGGCTCAGATGTGGCAGCAATACTCCATATTTTTGATCTGATCTGGCTCTCTTGTAAAGTGAGCGTGGCAGGAGGTGGTAGGGTCAAGTACTTTCTGGAGCAGTACAGGGAGCTGACCATTTTTCCAGCATTTTTAGCAACTGATGGTATATACAAGTTCCACTCGATGTCTGGTGTGAGATTTCATTATCCTTGTGGCTGTTTTGCTACTTGCATATCTGGAACTGCATTAATGACTTTGTCTAAACCAGCCAATCTTTTATCAGTTTGGATAAGTGAAGACACATGAGAATCATTCGTCATGTATGTTCTGTTATCATCTGTCTTCAGCACGTCATCCCAAAATTAAATCTTTAGAGAGATACATTGAGAGGGGGTGGGTTTGTTTTGTTTTTTTTTTTTTTGTGATAACGCCTATTAGGTATTTACAGTATTACTGCTAATCTCAAATTAGCTGAACCTGATAATGGCTTTGGTAGAAAATAATTAACCTAGATTTAAAAGAGACATTGGATGTTTTTTTTATGGGATATTTATAGACTGGAAATTATTACTCAATGGCGAGGGGGGTGTAGAGGGGGAATGGGTGCAGAAGAATCTCTTGATTCAATCTTAATTCTTTTATGACAAGATGTAAATTGCCCTGTTTTTCAAACCAAATTCCAAAAGCCAGAAAACCATTATTACAGCTTGAATGAAAGAGAGCTAAAAGTCCTGGGACACATAATAAGGAAATTAGGTTTGGAAAGTTTGATGCACACAGGGCATGTTGAGGACAGGGGGGTCAGAAGGAAATGGCAAGTAACCTGCTTGATTAGTTTGGGTAAATGGATGGCAGAAAAAGGACTACAAATACAAATATTGGTAGTAAAGGGCAAGGGTTACTTTGAGCAACAAATGACTAGAAGTTGTCCTGAAAAAGTTTGGTGTATAAAAGATGGAGGAATAAGTATATGCCTTTTTATTTTGTGTAATGATTTTATTTACTATTTAATTTTTTTTTTCTTCAGTAGTAGATAAGTTTGTTAATTGTTCAGCTCAGTCTTTTCCAGTCCTTTTGAACAGGAGTAGAGGTTTATCCCTTGTTTCCTGTTTAGGATTGGGTTTCTGGTTCCCTGGAAGTCTTTTCTTTCTCTTTCACTCCTGAGGTATTTTGGTGGCATTATCACCTTGCTTGGGGTAGTGCCTCTTACTCTGTAAACCTCTAACTCGAGTTGCTCTTGGGCTTTGTACAGGGGGAACATCATTGTGGAAGAAAAGTTTGTATACCTCTGACATATTCACCAGATATTGCATCTTCTGATTAACATTTCTCCTAGTCTCTTCTAAATTCTCATCCTTAAAAAAAAAAAAAAGTGTGAAGGGATAAAAATTCAATTACTTGGAAGAATATGAAAGGTGCCTGGAGAACTTCTTTATGTAGATAGATAAAATGTTCTGAGAAGATGGGATTATGAAGTGTGGCCTGAAAGATTGCAAAAGATAGCTGGACAAAATAGAAAATATCTTATTGGATAAAGTTATGGATGAAAAAAAATCACTTTATTATTTTCTTTAATAAATCGAATGAAATTTTTACCGTATCAGATATTTTTATTGGCTTTTAGAAGATTAAAAACATGAGCGAATTTTTATTCAGATGTGAAATTGAGACCAACTAAGACTTATATGTGAAATAAAATGTGTTTTTCTTGAATGTTAAATATGATATATAATGCCTATTGATATACATAAAATTATATAATTTAACCCTTTGAGCCTTGGCCCTCACTTTACCAGTGGTAGAGTAAAATGACGTAATGCCCGGCCACTGGTTGAACAGTGGTAGAGAAAAATGACTTAATCCTCAGCTAATGATTGAACAGTGGGTAAACACTTGTAACTATTTTTATATCTACTGTGAAACATTACATACCAATTGTTTGTGAATTTTGACTCAGGAGCTCAGGTGGAAGGGTTAAAATTGTTCAGGAATGTAGGTGTTATAGTGGAACACAACTATTCTATAGTTAATAGACTCTCCCACCTATAATAAGTAGGAATAGTAAGAGTAACAAGTCAGTCACTCAGGGGGTTGGTCAGTCAGTCGATGTCGGACAACCGTTAGTCGGAAATTAAAGTATCAGCCACCACAACTAGATTACTGCGTCATTACCTATTATATCAAGTTCCTAATGTTTTGTATGTCGAACCATTTTTAAGACCGACTTAGTACAAATACAAGCCTCCACTGTGAAACCACTACATAACTTGGCGACGAGGGATTCGAACTCATACAGAGGAAGAAAAAACCTTTTGTACTACATAACAGTAGGGTTCAAAGGATTAATGTATGTCAAAGTGAACAGAATAAAGCGCTCACTATCTATTGAGAGCATTAATTATTGCGGCATATAGAAAGTTCATGATTCTTATTGAAAATTGATTCACAGTTTCATGATACTTCACTCTTCAGGGATCAGATAAGAATCAGGATCCTGAAATACAAAGCATTATGAAATTTCAGACTGGGATTCCTCTTGTAAAGGGAGATGCAGGTTTGAATCCTGCTGCTGGAGGGCACTTTTTTTTTTTTTTTTTTTTTTTTTTTTTGAAAGGTAGTTTTCTCAAGTGTGCAGACTGGTAGAGGAAACAAATACTG